TCAACTCAGTTAGCATATATGCTTTAGAACTCTCTATAAGAAGAATTAAACTCCTAGAAAATCTAATTATATTTATCAAGCAATTATATCAAGATCATAAAATAAAAGTAATAACTAATGAAGGCCTAACAAATTTCTTCGTAACTAGAGACAGAATAGATTAAGATAAAGTAATTTCTCTTCTAATGTGAAGAATATTTTATGATCTACTGCTAGTAAGAATACAGTAGCTAGGAATTAGATACTAAATAGAGCTTCAGTAGTCAATAGATATTGAAAAATATATATATATAAAACAAAAAAAGCTATAATTTCAGTATTAGCATATGCAGATAATACTATATAAGTAGCAGAATCAAAGCAGGTATTGCAAAAAATCATATAGATATCAAATAGCTTCTTTGTACTAAATGATATTGAGATAAATAGAGCAAAATCTGAAGTAATTACTTAAAGACTCTACAAGCAAAGGAAAAAAGAAGAATATATACAAATCAGAATATCACCAAGTCTGGTTAAGATTAAAAACTAGAAGAAAGTATGAGATTTTCAGGAGTTTGAATAAGTTTAAGAAAATAAGAGAGAACAAGTATCTTATAGTGTAAAAAGAAAGTAAAAAAACTAATTTGTATAAAACTCTTTCTCTGATCCTCAAAACAATATACAGAGTAAACAACTTTTTTCAGAAAATAACAGAAGCCTTAAATATTTCCTAGTCAAACAGTCTTATAGAAGAATAGTATATGGGATAGACCTAGAACAATGTTTAATATAGCTATACTGAAGCAACTATGCTAGCTAACTATAGCGAGTTAAACTTTAAAACTATGCAAATATTTAAGAGTATATTTTCATATGAAAAAAGTAAAAGAAGTTCAAAGAAACAACTAAATACTAAGTTTAAACTAAGTTAAACTTGTAGTCACTCTCTAATAATAACTCTATATGACTACTATCTATACCTTCTCAACTACTACCTTCAAATTTTAATTCTCTATTCATACTTTTCTGAGAAATTTAGTTCACTCCTATTAAAAGATCAACATTTGTGGAACTTCTATTTTAGAGAAGGTGTTAGATGTTCTGACATAAACAAGAGAAATCTCAAATAAATAAAGAAATATATATTTTATAATCACAAATCTAATCACGTGAATAGAAAATAGAAAAGTATAACATCAAGATATATTATTATATATGATATAATATATATATAATTTTTAATCATATTGAATAATTTTTCTTTCTTTAAATTAGTTTAGTAATCCTCTGTTTCTATTCCTTTTACTTTTAAGTTTTTACTCTAATACTCTATATATTAGTTTATATAGTATAGCTTCACTATTATAACAATTTTTACTTTTTTTACCTTGAGACCAGGTATTAACTACTTGTAACTTAGTATCAACTAGATTGCAAGAAATCTAGAATCTTGGTATATAGCTAGAAGTAGCCTTCATAGATCAAATTCTAAGAATTTGTACCTGCAGATTAAGGTTTTTATATGAGAATAAGCTTCTGCAGCAGATTGAACTTGGGTATTCTTGAGGCAGCTAAGTTAGTCTGAAATAGTTAGAGGAGATCTAAATTAGTATATTTGTATATTAAAGTAGTTTTTAGCTTATATATAAGCATTTCTCAATAAAATAATAGGCAAGATCATTCAAGGTAAAAAAAAAAAAAAAAAAAAACTAATTTGTATACTAAAATATAAAAAACTCTCAGTAAGTTAGATAATATATATAAACAATATAGTACTGCTTTTAAAGCTTAAATATTTGCTAGCAAATATATATCTAAAGAAAAAATTATTTGATAGTATATACCAATCTATACTTAGATTAATCAAATAGAAATTAGAGCTGCTTTTTATATATATAAATATAACCTTTTAGTATAAAGAAATTTTTGAAATAGTAAGCTTATAGCAAAAACGTATTAAACTCTATATATTAGAGCTCTTTATAAGAATAAACACAAATAATATTGTAGATATTACTACTTTAATAAGATTAAAATAGTCATAGCTAGACATGAATATATCAGAATATATACTTATAACAAAAAATATGAGTGTGAAAAAAATTAAATATAGAAATCTAGAAGCTACAATAATGTAACATGCAAAAAAATTTGATTTAAGTATTGTAGAGAATGACTTCATAGCAAGTTGGAACCTTATAAACTTGTAGGAAGGAAAAGATTGTTTTATTAGTAATATTTTTAATAAATGTAATATAAAAGAAGTATAAAAAAGTATAAGTAAGCTAGGTCTGGTGATCTTAGTGTAGTGGTTAGGTTGCCAGACTGCTATGCAAGAGGTCTGGAGTTCAAATTCCACTGTTGACGAATTTGAATAATTACTCGGACCTTTGTACTCAACTTACGGTAAATTCTGCCTGTTTCTGGGGGTTACAACCTTGTAAATCATGTTGCACCAATGTCAATCGGACATTGGAAGTATGACGCAATACTTGAGTTATGTTACATGAATAAATCTTAATAGGATCTACGAGCAGGGGACCTGTATAGTAGAAATCCTGAGTTTGGTGAAGTAGTACAGATTTCAATGGTCAAGTCAGTTAACGCCTGATCTAGTGAAAAACCTGAGTACGAAGGATGTGAGATCGATAGGTGCGAGTAAGTCCACTGTGTAATGCAGTCTGGTGTCTTGCATTAGCGGCAACACCAACTTGGCTTGGCAGCTAACTAGATTGGGAGGATCTATCTCATGAAACATCCAACTGGAACTTGGAGGACTATATCTAGTAGACAGCTACAGCAGGAACTGGGATTGTATGAACATCAACAAGGGTCTAATTCAGATGAATCTGTGAAATAGGCACATGACCACTCTAGTAGGAATTACTTCTGAGGTTAACTGGAGCTTTGTAGCTCACAATACGTTGAGCATACACATCCTAAGAGGACCTAAGCTGTGCAGAGAAATAGATCCACAAGTGAACCAGCTAGCGTAAGCGGTTGGTCATAGTGGTGACATTAGTTTGGAATGGGGGGAAGGGTTAATAATTAGAGTATTTAGATAGGTAACTCACAGGCGAGTTGCAGATATAGCAGCATAGTGTAGAACTAACAGATGGTCGATTGTCTGTATAGCGAACTACTTAAATTAGACAATAACTAAAGTTGTACGTATGGCTTGTTGTATACTCATCATGTAACTGTAAAACCTTAGGAAACTATTCATGTGATAGTTCCGTAATAACAAACTAATAAAAATCTAATCAGCCAAAGAAGTAGCCTTAATAACAAAAAAAAAGTATAAGTAAGCTTAACTTATAGTATGTAAATCTAATTATTTTTAACTATACTACCAGGTAGCCATAAGGCTAATAAAACAATATTTTATACTATTGCCTGGTAGTATAGTTAAAATAAATCAACTACAAGTTTAATTATATTTGTGTAACTTTCTTTTTTTTCTTTATATAAGACCGAAACAAAACACTAAACTGAAACAGAGTACAAAAATGAAATTTGAGGTACTAAAATAATTATGATTTTTTTAGTAAACACCCTGTTTTAGTTAAGAACTGGGCCTTTTTTACTGTTTCAGTTAAAAAAGTACCCTGTTTTGGTTAACAGTACCCTGTTTCAGTTAGAAAGAGAGTACTGTTTTGGTTTAAAAAAAGCCCAGTTTTTAAGTTAATAAAAAAGGATATTTTTTTAAGTTCATAAAAAAGAAGACTATTAAAATTATGATCATAAAATAAATTTAACTTAAATTTTAATAATAAAATAATAAAAGTGGTTCTAGTAAACTAGCATTATTTTTTTGAGATATACATTTCTACTTAAGAGCTCAAAGTTGATTAACATAGTAGGATTTTGAGTAAAATATGATTTTTTATGTTTCGCGGCATTTTTTTAAATGATCTGCAAAGAAAAATTAAAATTGTTCTTCATCAAAATTCAGCATTATTTCACGAATTTTGATCTGTTTAACCTGAAATTTTTCATGTTAACTCTTGAACCTCATCTGCACCAACTTGCTTAATGCCACTTTCTATGTTATAATGTACTAAAGTATCGAAATTAATGAATTTCTTTTTTATTATTAATAATAAAAAAAAGTTACATTCGTTTTCAATTGAAAAAAATTAATAACTTGATAAATACTTGTCTGTTTGATTTGAAACTTTACAGAAAAAATTTTATAACCTTCCTCTAAAAGTTTACTTAGGACCTCAAGATATATTTGCTAATAAGAATTGTTCATCAGACCTGTCAACCTAGAATTTTTCATCAAAACATCAAAGAAAAAAAATATACAAACGTAAAATCGGCATAATTTCACAAGTTTTCATCCAATCCTTTTGAAATTTAAGATATTAACAGATAAATACCTTGTGAACAACTTTACTTAATAGCATTTTTATCATTTCATTTGGAGAAACAAGAGTTTTCTTTATTCAAAGTTGTTGTATATTCAAAAAAAAATTTCGTGTATATGTTTTTGAAAGAAAAATCATCATAACTTCTTAAGAACAAATCCGTTTAAACTGAAAATCTAGATCCTAATATAAAAAAACCAGTTCTACAACTTTAATTAGTAGCATTTCTTAGCTTTGCTAACAATAAATATCTTCTGAAATCGATTTTCTGTTGAGTATATTTTTTAAAGAAATTAAAATTTGTAAATCATTTTTGTGTTATAGATTAAAATGGAATACAATGAAAAATCGTTGGACATTTATATATTTTCTATGTTACACATATGTAATCGATCATCAAAGTTTTGTAAAAACATGTAAAATTTCAAAAAAAAATCGATAATTACAATTTACAAATTTACTAATTAAAAAAACTATATAAAGACTAATTATCCCTAATGTTTTTTCTTTACCTGTGTTTGAAAAAGAAATTGGTCTATCTGGACTTTGAGAGTATACAAACACTAACAGGATACAATACTCTTCGAGTTAGTTTATCTCAAATAATTATTTAAATTTAAATAATTATTAAATATATCTTTGACAATGTCTGAATCATATTGCTTACTGTATAAGAAAGTATAAATCATTTACTTTAATTGTGATTTTGACTTAGAAGATATATTATTACATTTATAATTCTTGTATATGAAAAGAAATGTAGTTGTTAAATCATATATTATAACAGCTAGTAATAATAATATATATTGTTATATATCGTTAAACAAATCTGTATCGATAAAAGATAATACTTTTTTTGATATTGATTGTTCTGATATTAAATTTTATCCTGTTGTTTACATATCTCATACAGAAAAATATATTAAATTACTTGTAAAAGATAACAAATTTATTTCAAATATCATGTAATATTTATTAATAAATATAATAAAGATATTTCTACTCAGTACATATTACTGAGTAGAATTTTATTCATGTAATTTTATTTAAAATATTAATTAAATATGTCTATAATCATTCCATTTGAAAAAAAATTACATCATTATCTTAATTTCAATACATACTATTATATTTTAATAGACAAGAATTTAAAAGATTAATAGATAATTATTTTAATAATGAAAAAACAAATCCTTTTAGATATTTTTTATTTCAATATGAAAAAAATTACAATACACAACAAGATAAAGATATTCATATTCAAAGATATTTTATTTTACATAATCAAATACGAATAGGATCTTACCTTAATATAGGAGATAAGAAAAATGAAAAAGTTTTAAAGAAAACAGAACATTCTGGAATTAAGAAATTATTAAAGATTCAAAAAATTCACTTTGATGAAGTGAATGCAGATTTTGATTATTCAATTTCTTACTGTAATAAAAAGTATAATCGTTGTTTTAAACATCATAATTAGCTAAATTCAAATGATCCAGAAAACAAAATAATGAGATATAGATGTGATTTTCAAGAATTAAATGATTTTTCTAAATATAATTGGTATGATATTGACTGTTGTTCAAAGAGAACATTAGCTAGGTATGACAACAAATCAGGTTTTCTTGAGTATGGAACATATAAAACTAGTTCAAAAAATTCAGAAAGAAAAAACCAACATCGATCTTTAAAAAACAAAAGATATTTGATGATAGATGAGGAAATATCAGCAATTGGAATAATGAATGATTTAATCAATAGAAAAATATCAGGTAATGAAATTACTGTAAATTATGCAAAAGATCAATTGAGATAGGTTGTTAACAATGGACTAGCAAATATTTCTGCAATTAGCAAAGCAGTAAAAAGTTTAGAAAGAAAAAAGATGAAACGATGTTGGAAACCCTGTAACATGTTTTTGTATTCAGATAATAGTCGTGTTAGAAAAGGATATCTATTATCTGTATTATTTCCAAATGCATATGAAAGAAGAAATAATGGTAGAAGATTTTGACAAGGTTTTACAAGTTCACATAAAGAAGTTTTAGTAAACGAATTTAAAGGTCAAGAAAAATATTTAGAAACTTTGAATCTTTTAGATTGTAAGGAATATTCTGTTCAGATCAAAGGTTCTGATATTAATTTTTGCCCTTTTGTGATTGCATATACTGCTAATACAAGTATTCGATTTATATATAACTTTTGTGAAGATAAACATTTAAAATCTAAATCTGAACAAAATTATAATAACACTAAATTATTTAGTACATTCGTAAATTGATATGATTATATTATTGAATTTAAAAAATTTAGAGATGATGAAAGAAAACTATGTGAAAATGAATGTTTTTGTTGTCGAATTCGTATGATTTTTTATAAGGGTGATATTGAAGATTTTTTTAAATTTAAATTTGAAATTGAATTTAATTATGATGTTACATTAGAAAAAGCAAAAGAGATTATTAAAGGAAGAAATAGAACTATAGAAGAATTAGATAATATTCTTTATTATCGTGATGAATATTTAGTTGATAAGAGCAAATATATCCTAGGACCTATTGAATTGTATTATCCTGATTTATATATTTCTGATAGTAGAGTTTATGTTGCAGATAGAGCAAGAAGAAGATTGAAGAAAAACCCTCTAGATCATGAACATGGAATTCTATCTTTGTATTATCCTCTTTAATTCTATTAATATTATATGTATCTATTTTTATATCTTTCAGTTTTTTACT